ATTCGAGTCTTACGTCTCTTCGAACTTGGCTTCGTCTTATGTTGTCCCTTTGCGCCGCCTGGCCCTAGGCGCAGCCGCAGCCGCAGCCGCCGCAGGGGCGCTGGCCACAGGACAGATCTGACAAGCTTCCCTGCGGCCCTCCACGCAGGTCCCCTCTCAGCTTGCTGCTCCCTGGGGAGGAGGAGGAGGAGGAGGAGGAGGAGGAGGAGGAGGAGGGAGCGTAGGAGTAGAGGAGGAGGGAGGACTAAAGGATGGGGAGTAAGAGGATGAACGAGGAGGAAGGAGGAGATGCGGAGTAAGGAGGTGGAGGGGGAGAGGAGGAGTGAGGAGGAGGAGGAAGGAGGAGGAGGAGGAGGAGGAATGATGATTGATTAGGGAGGAGGAGGATGGGGAGGAAGAGGATGCGATGGGGGGGATGAGGAGGAGGAGAAGGGAGGAGGAGGATAGAGGTAAGGAGGAAGAGGAGGGGAGGAGGGAGGAGGAAGGAGGAGTATTAGTGGAGGAGTTGAGGGGGGAGGAGGTGAAGGAGGAGGAGGGGAGGAGATGAGGCGGATGCTAGGAGGAGAGGAAGAGATGATGAGAATAGGAGGAAGATGATGAGGAGGTAGGACGTAGGAGGAGGAGGATGGAGGGAGGGGATGGGATTGATGTGTGGTGGTATGATATGTAGGAGGAGGTTGGAAGGGATATGCGTCTTAGACAAGGCGGAAGTCTTCGTATTCTTCGTTCTTACTGTTCTGCTTCTTTTCTTCTTTTCTTCGTCGTTCTTTCTTCCTTCTTCACCTATCTTCTTTCCTTCTTCTTTCTGCTTCTTTCCTTCTTCTTCCTCTATTTCTCATTTCTTTAACCTTTGGCTCTGTCCGCCTAGCCTCTCCTAGACCCCCTCCGCGAATCGTCTACTAACCACCCCCGGGGTGGTCTGACGGGGCCACCACCACCACCACCACCACCACCTCCTACTCCAGCTCAACCCCACCACCACCACCTCCTCCTACCACCTCCACCACCTCCACCACCACCCCCACCACCGCCCCCCTACACACGCGGACCAAACCAACAATCAGCGGAATCAACGGGCCGTGTCCGCCCCCCCACGATCACTCCTCAACCAGCCGACATCCAAGGATTATCAAGCCGAGTCCAAGCCATCTTCAGCAGCACGCGCGAAGCAGAGATCGGCCACAGAATTCCGATTGCACGGGAGAGGTTGAATCCTCACCGCGCAGAGCCTCCGAACGATCAGCACTCCA